CCAACAAATAGGATGTGAGGCGGCTTGCTGCCTAAGCCGAGTCAACAGGGCACTGTGAGGCGGGCTGCCGGTGGCCGAGTCGCGGGGGGACTGGGTGAGTGCGGCTTGGCTGCCTTGATGCCAGTCGCGGGACTGTGAGGCGTCTGCTGCCGAATGCCGCAGTCGGCGGGGACTGTTGAGTGGCGGGCCTCCATTGCCGATTGCCAGTCGCGGGGACTGTGAGGCCGGCTGCTGCTGCTCAGTGGCGGGGGGGACTTCTACCCCCTGCTGGGGGGTGGACAAATTGCAACTTCAGTCTGTTCAGTTACAGAAGTGGAAAGAAGGCGAAGGAGCCTCACCCCCGTTTCTAGAGCTGCGCTGCGCGGCACAGGAACCAGCGACCACAGGTATCTGTTCAAGTTCAGACTGACGACAATCAGCTTGAATTCAGAATCTGGTCCTTGTTACATTCTCCACATTTCAAGTGCTCAGAAGCTGTATGTGGCCAGTGGCTGCTGCACTGGACAGCCCAGAAGAGACCATTCCATTCCTGCAGACAAGACTAGTCGAGGCACCCTGCTATTCTAGACGGAAAAGCACTCAATTTCAAAAACCGTCAAATGCAAAGACTTCTAGTGGAGATTTCCCTAAAAACCTATTTCACAGTTTACAGTTTATTTTACGGTTTATCATTTGTTTTTATTTTTTGAGATGGAGTCTCGCTCTCATCACGCAGGCTGGAGTGCAGTGGCGTGATCTCAGCTCACTGTAACCTCCGGCTCCCGGGTTCAAGTGATTCTCCTGCCTCAGCCTCCCCAGTAGCTGGGATTACAGGCGCACCACCACACCTGGCTAATTTTTTTGTATTTTTAGTAGAGACAGGGTTTCACCATGTTGACCAGGCTGGTCTTGAACTCCTGACCTCAAATGATCCACTTGCCTTGTCCTCCCAAGTGCTGGGATCAGCAGGCGTGAGCCACTGGGCCCGGCCTATCATTTGCATTTCAAACGGCATGGGTATAAAATGGCCTAGTAATTACAGTGCACAGCCACAGTCATCCCCGTGGAAGAGAATCACATGTGTCTCTTTCTTTTTTTTTTTTTTTGAGAAGGAGTCTCGCTCTGTTGGAGTGAACCTGGAGTGCTCCGCCTTCCAGGTTCACGCCATTCTCCTGCCTCAGCCTCCTGAGTAGTTGGGACTACAGACGTCTGCCACCACGCCTGGCCACATGTGTCTCTTATAAAAATACCTAGATTTTTAGTCTCCTCTCGAAACGACCTGGACACCCTCAGCTCCTGGAAGTTCCCCTGCTCACCTGAATGTCACAGGGGAGATCTTCCCCATGAGGGCGTAGGCTGTGACGCTCTGAAGGTGGAACAGGACTCCATCTGTCAGAAGCAGCAACACCACGTCCTGGTTGTAGCTGAAGCTCTTCCCGCTCCTCCCGATCACCTGGGACGTCCTAATTGGCAAACACAAAACAGATATTCCTATTGGTTTGCATTTTCCCATTTACAATCATCCACACAAAAAACGCCCAGCGCCCTCCTGCACCGACACTGGGTAATAGCTGCTGACACTGAGGACAGCTATGAAAATGCCTCTAGGGCGGAGAGCTGAACTGTGCACGTCATCCATTTCTGTTTTTTTTCCATTATTTTTTGCACTATTAGTTTTCACCAATGTAGATGCAAACAGACCAACAAGCACATGAAAGCAGCCGAACATCACATCAGCAGGAAAATGCAACAGAAACCCCAAGGAAAGGGCCCGGGCATGGCCAGTCTGGCCAACACAGTGGAAACACCCGTCTCTACTAAAAATCTAAAGATTAGCCAGGCGTGGTGGTGTGCGCCTGTAATCCCAGCTACTCAGGAGGGAGGCAGGAACAATCACTTAAACCCGGGAGGCGGAGGCTGCAGTGAGATGAGAATTAGCACCACTGCACCCCCAGCCTGGGCAAACAGAGTGAGATTCCATCTCCAAAAAAAAAAAAAATTAAACACAGAATTATTATATAATCCAGCCAGTTCCACTGCTGGGTACACACCCACAAGAACTGATGGCCCCGGCCCGCAACCACAACCTTCCTCCGCAGGGAGAACGGCCAGTCAGCCAGCCTGACAGCTAACGGATTAAAATCCAGAAAACGACAATAAAGATAAGACTTGCAACTGCACCTCGCACAGAGAACCCCTCTGTGTGGGGGACTCTAGGGAAGTCTACAAATTGCATTTAGAAGGTCCATGAACTCAACTGGGAAAAAACTGCATCTTTATCTTTACTAACCTTCTACTGAAACCACGTGCATTCATTCATTATGAATGTTGGGGAAATAAACTATAATACTACAGATAGGCCAGCGCAGTGGGCCTCACGCCTGGTGATCCAGGAGCCTTTGGG